TAAATCTATATTTACATCATGATAATTTAGGACTGCTTTTATTTATTTATTATTCTTATTTTTTATGTGTGTTTCCTGAGAGATTGTGTTAATATATTTTTCCCCTCCTAAATTACAAGTTGTCAACTAGCATGAATCTTTGGTAAATTTTATAAACTTTTTCTTTATGCTTATTTCTCACTCTGGATGATTGTGCTTGTGTCTTTACTATGTAGAAGCCATTTTCATCTTATAATTTCTCTCTCTCTCTCTCTATCCAAATGCTAAAATTTCAAGTTTTGCCTCATAATACTCATAGATCTGTCATGGTTGCACGTAGGACTATGCAAACAGCGGTTGGAGCATTTGGTGGTGAAGTTTGCCCGGATGGCATAAATGTTCCTCCATTAATGGTGGCGAATGCAGGAAATAGCAACTGCCCTGCAATTTCAAGTTTGAATTGCCCGCCATTTTTGGCAGTTGAGCTTTGTCGGGAACACTTGGTATATTTTACAAATTCAAATCCAACTTCTCAAAATTTTACATGCAAACATTAAATTTTAGTGGGGATTTAAACCTTTCCTTTGACAAGGAGTAACTCTGATTTTTGCCTCGTAGCTGATTCTCATATAATTATGCTCTTTAAATTCTCTCACGTTATATATTATTAAGAGAAGAACTTAAGTTGACGACAAAGTTGAAATGTAACCAATGGTGAGATAATGATTATTTTTCCCTTACATGCAAATATTTAATTGGATTTCTTTTGCATTTTTCTTGGCGTGTTTATTTTTCAGCTTTGAGAATACTTCACTCTTAGTTCTCAATTGATTGCTAATCAAATCATTATATCTTCTGTGCAGGGAGTTAATCCATGTGACAAGAGGCGAAGTATTGGGGGATGTCGGTCTCTTTTCCCTGCAATTGATTTTTCAATGGCAAGTTGCATTTGTTTTGTCCATGTTGCTGGATTATGTTGCTTTTCTCTGTGACTATTTTTCATCTCCATTTTTAGAATTCAACTTATTTTTATTAAAGAAAACATTGCTTTACTTTTTCTAGATTGAACACGATGAAGATATCCTGTGGAATTCAGACATCAGAGAAACCAACGATGAAGTTGCAGATAGGGGACTTAAATTTCTTAAATGGTAAATGTCTACTTCACTTATCTCTATGTTCTTTTTGTTTCTAGTTTTCGTTGCCCATCAGATGTCTGTGTCGTTAGCTATGTTTGCAAATTATTCTCTTGGAGACAAAGATACTCGGGAATTAGGATAACCAATTAGGCCACTTGTTTTTGTTATGTGATTTTCTGCAATTCTTTTGGAACTATTCTCAACATGTTTGGGTCGTCCATTGCTCTCGCACAATGATCCGACCTGTTTTTTATCTCATTGTTGAGGGCCATTCTTTTAAAAGGGAGAATAGGCTTCTTTGGATGAACTTCATAAAAGCTTTCTGCTGGAGTGCTTGCCAGGCAAGATAGGAATCGTTGAAATTGTATCTAACAAAAAAAAAAAAAAAAAAAAAAAAAAAAAAAAAGGGGAAAAAAAAANAAGCTTTTTTGGATGAACTTGATAAGGCTTTTATGTAGCTCCAAAGATTACTTTTTAGGGTTAAAGTATTGATATAACTAAATTTTTCGTGATCTATTAGCTTAAATTTTTGGATTTAGTAGTAATTTAACGTGATATCAAAATAGTAGGATGGTCAACCCTATGACATTTTTCCAATAATATTGATTCCCATTTATTGGTCTTTACAAATTTTCAAGCCCACAAATAAGGGGAGCGTTAAAGCACTATAAATTTTACTCCAACCAGGCTCTTGATTCAATGGTGATTTAACATCAAGTAATGTTGACAGTGAGACACTTTTCAGATGTTGGTGATATTTCCCCATTCCAGTCAGTTTTGTGTACTTTGTGAATAAAATAAAAGATAGAAAACATAATAACTGAATACGACTTCTTTATCGACTCTCTTGTTTTCCTTTTCTATTTTAGTGGTATGAATATTTCTTCAAATGCACACAATAATGTTGATTATAGGTCGATAGACATGTTCTATTAGTCAAGAATATCACAATATCCAATTTTTTTTTTCCATTCTACAAATTATGGTTTACAAGTTCAATTTTTTTTTTTTTTTTTGGATATTTTGAGCTTCTTGAATCTCTTATAGAAAGTGCACCTGTCAATACGTAGTAGTAGATTGATTCGTTACATTTCCTTGATTATGAGACTTCTGGTCCATGGTCTGTATGAACTCGTGTTTCTGGCTTGAATCGATAAATTTGATACTCCTCCTGGCAGATACTAGGGATGTAATAGAGTAATAATGTTACAGCTGATAATTTTGTTAGTTATCCAGGGGGAATATCTTATCCCATGTGCTGGTTACTATATGAGGTTCCTGTTCTATCCAGGGGGAAGCCATGAGTAGTGAAATGGCCATAACAGGTTCTCTTCTGCGGTCAAGAGGTTGACCATGTTATCGTAATCTTCAAATTTTGGATTCCTTTGACATGAATAAACTAGTGCAATATCGTTTTCCAGTAGGGAAATTATTTGGATGTTAATGCTTTCCATTTGATAAAAGTTGATGTGGCGCTTGTTTCAGCTTCCTATAGGCTCTTGCTGCTTGAATTTATTGTTCTTGCATATCATAATATGACATCGTCTTCATTTCTTTATCTTTTGGTTTTCTACTCCGATCACCAGGCTTTGGACCCGGAAGGAGAAGGAGATTGCAATTGTCAGCCACTGTGGATTCTTATTTCATGTGTTGAGTGTGTTTGGGAACGACTGTCATCGTTCTATAGAGGATGAAATCTGCAAACAGTAAGCATTACTCTGATTAGGTCCAACATTGTTTATTGATGTTAAATGGGGATTTTAGAGGAGTATATATTGGCACACCATAACGATAGGATTCGTGTTGGTGCTGTTTAACTTGTTCTACATTTGATATTAACGATCGAAATTCGATTTTGTTGTTCTCATTTGAAGCAGACTCACTTTTTTATGCAGGTTTGCCAACTGTGAGCTTCGTTCGTTTGTTCTTGTTGATTGGAGGTAAGGGTAAGCACATTCCTCAAATACGTCTTTCCCTGGTCCAGGTATTCATGCGTCTAGACTCCATCAATTTGGTACATCATTTGCAGCATGATCGGGTCAGAATCCTCACCGAGGACAACGACGACTAGGAGGACGACGACGACGACAGCCAATTGCCCGAGACGATTACCTACGAAAGGAATCGATCTTCCCAGTGATGTTGCAGCGGAAAAACAGCATCCAGGAAGGGAGTTACAAATGAAGATGTGGGTGGAGGAAGATACTACATGGCACCATATTGAGAAACAAAGATTTCTAATTATTTTCTTCGTTTCCTCCCTGGGAGCTTTGATACTCCGACAGTGTTTCTCATGATTCAATATTCTTTTCACGAATTTTCTACCCAAATTCATTTTGGGAGAAATATTTTATCTACAGGGCTTGTTATTAAGGCCTCCTCTTTTCTGCAACTCAACTGGATTTGGAGGTGGAGGCAAAATGTTTGTCTGTATCTCATCCATCAGCTGCTTTGCAGCCATCTTTTAACGCCAATTTGATATGACAATATGATGATCGCTCTCTCTTCACTATCATTTCTGTCTTCCAATCCCCCTTCTCTGTGCCCCCCCCCCCCC